CTTTTTTTTTTTTTTGAGAGGGGAGTCTCGCTCTTGCGCCCAGGGCTGGGAGTGCAGTGCCGGATCTCAGCTTCACCTGGCAAGCTCCGCTCCCGGGTTCCCAGCCATTCTCTGCCTTCAGGCTCCCGAGGTAGCTGACTACAGGCGCCCGCCGCCCTCGCCCGGCTGTTTTTTTGTTTTTTTCAGTAGAGACGGGGTTCACCGGTAGCAGAGGCATGGTTATCATCGATCTCCTGCCTCGTTGATCCGCCGTGTCTCGGCCTCCCAAAGTGCTGGGGATTACAGCCTGGATCCACTCACGGCCCGGCCGTGCTGAATTATTTCTTTTTACAAATGCCTTCCACAGCAATTTGCTGGCTCAAAGGGTGGTCAGCAGAAGTCTAGAAAACAAGGATGGCGGGCGCGGTGGTCCAAGCTTAATCCCACGGCACTTTGTGAGGGCCGAGACGGTGGATCACGAGGTCAGGAGATCGAGATCCATCCTGGCTAACCCAGTGAAACCCGTCTCTACTAAAAATACAAAAAACTAGCCGGGCGACTGTGGCGGGCGCGCCCTGTAGTCCACGCTCTCGGAGGACTGATGGCCGGAGAGATGGCCGTGAACCGGGAGGCGAGCTTGCAGTGAGCTGAGATCGGCGCACTGCACTTCTTAGCCTGGCTACAAGCTGAGACTCCGTCTCAAAAAAGAAAAAAAAAAAAAAAAGAAAACAAGGATAAAAGATGGATAGCCCTGGCTGACGTGGTCTTGTGTGGTGCTCACGCCTTATTAATCCAGTACATAGGGGAAGCCGAGGTGGGTGATCATCCTGAGTTCAGGATTTGAGACCAAGCTTGGTCCAACATGTTTAACAACCCTGTCTCTACTTAATATGCAAAAATTGCCAGGTGGCAGTGGCTCATGCCTTGTAATCCCAGCTAGCCTTGGGGAGGCTGAGGCAGGAGAATGTACTTGAACCTGGGGAGGCGGTGAGGGATTGCAATGAGCAGAGATGGCGCCATGTACACTCCAGCCTGGATGACAAGAGCAAATCAGTCTCTCAAGAAAAAGAAAAAAAAAAAAAGAGTATTAGCTCCTGTTGGAAATGCTTCTCCAGGCGATGGTCGAATGGTTAGGCATTTGCCTGTGTTTTTTCTTTAATGAACTTGGAAAAACCAACTCTGCTTAAAAAGAGTAAGATGTTTTCAGTCGTCGCAATTTACCAGATATGAAGAGTATTTTAAGAGATACAGCCTCTGGAAATGGATCAAACTCTTAACTCATGGCGATGTTAGATCATGTTTGTTCAATAAACTTCGGTATGACATGGAAAAAAAGATATAAATAAATCCATCAGAGGTCTATGTTGAATGTTATTAACTAACATGTTAAGTTAAAAAGTGGTCTGGTGCTCGTGGTCATGCCTGTTATCTCAGCACTTGGTGAGCGAGGCGGTGAGGATCACGAGTTCAGGATGATCGAGACCATCGTGGCTGAACACTGTGAAAAACCCTGGTTTCAATAGTGATTCTCTACCTCAGCCTCCCAAGATGCTGGGGTTACAGGCAACGATCCACCATGTCTGTGGGATTTTTGTACTTTTAGTTAGAGACGGGGTTTCACCACGTGGCTAGGACGGTCTCATATCCTGACTCTGTGATCATGCCCTGCCATCGGCCTCAAAGTGCTGGGCGATT